ATGGCCTAATTTACGAGCAAGAAACCGGTTTCCCCCTCTGCCAGACTTATGCAACTTGCAAAACAAGTAGGTACTATTGGATATATAGGTCATAAATGAAAAGTGAAACGATGGTATAAGAACCTTCGGTTTTTGAATTATATTATGCTGGATGAGACAGATTAGAGGCACTTTAGACGGCATTAAGAGCGGCAAAATTTTAAGCAATAACCCCTTAATATATAGTTGAGATGAAAACCAAGACGATTCAGTGATAGGTCTGGTCGCAACCTGCTTTAGTTGCAGTATTTGTTTATCTAATTTTCGCAAATCGATCAGGCGACCATAACACTTCATATATCCTACAGCCTAAGAAGGTTTCAACAATTTGGCTAGACCGCGAGTAAGATGACATAAATATCAAGTCCGCGGAAAGGGACTGGAAATTGTCATAAAAACTATGGCGGAGGATTTTAGACAAAGGGCATTCATCTAAGTCTCTGATGATGCGATCAATTTGCGAATTTGAGGTCAAATAATTTCGATAAAACGAGGTGAAGCCGCGACTGTAATAAAGGCCACACCACCTTCACACCTTCGATTCAGTGATGTAAACTTTTTTTTCGTATTCTGATAAAATTCAAGTGAGGTTTGGAAGTCAAGTCAGAAATTGAAGCTGCCTGATAGGGATCAGATAGCCGATGCAATGGATATCTCGAATGATAACTAAGAGAGAAATAATGACTCATCGAGGATAAAAGCTGGACACAAACTGCGGGAGCGGATCACAACGAGTCTCTCGTTATCTATATCTTCCAAAAGAACCCGGGCTCGTGGCTAACGGGAAATAAAAAAATAAGTTATCTAGGGCTATTCAAGGCCAAGCATTTCTATCTCAAAAAGAAATTGTTTCGGGGTATTTTATTGTCAGGAAGATAGTTAAAAATAAGCCGTGTGGAGGCTACTGAACTAATATGATAAAACCAGCAAATACAGGCCTCTTAAAGCATTATAAGGATATCACCAATATTGCTCCTTTATGACTGCTGAGGGACAACTAAACAATACAACTCGGCATGGTACCTAGATGATAACCCGATTACGTTAGAAAAAAGACTGATGGTTTATAAAATTAAAAAATATGCACAAAATACTAGTGTGTAAACTATACGAGAAAAGAATCTATATTAGAGCCACGTAAAGCAAGGTAACCGTTAATAATGTGATGAGGAAATATTCTAATCTTTTGGAACTCTTCAATAGTTGCAAACCGTAGACTAGTTTTCGGATCCCTATATGATGTAGGAGTACCACTGAGATCGGAGACTTTCAGAGTAGGTTTGGTGCTAGGCGGAGCATCAATTTGGTGGTACCGGACAGTGGTTTGAGGACCGATCATCTGGAAACAAGTTGGCAAAAAGCATTAAAAGGTGGTCAGATACTTAAAGGTTTTTATGCTTTCAGAAAGCGCCGTCTATGCGTTAGTAGTCATGGGTACTAGAATATATATATATATATATATACATATTTATGCCTGTGTGCAACATGGGAAGTTCAGTCACAAGAGGAATAGGAAGTGTTGAAAGGCTGCTCTGTCCGCTTCGCTAATGAAAGACATGAAGTTTTTATTGTAAAATTGCATACAAGAACCAGCACACATTGAAATGGAATATCTATCGAATATAAAAGAAGCCACAAAGAGACATCAAATGTGCCTTTAAGAGGATAGCTCCAAGTAAATAAGTTGGTGGAAAAATGTGACTTAGAA